CTTGGCTCGACTAGCGTCTTCAGGAGAGGATCATGGAACAAAAAGGAGAAATATTCCCCTAAAGTACCTGCACAAGCCAAACATCGACAAAGAAGAACTGGTGGGGGAAAATTTCAAGTACAAGCATCAACATTGATGGACCAATATGTATCCTACCTCAAAATGGTGATCTCTTGACAGAACGACTAGAAGCCAAAAGGTTAGTCCTATAGGTGGCTAAGTATGTGCTCATCCAAGACGTTCTCCACAGAAGAAGCTTGTATCTCCCATACCTTCAATGTTTGGGGATAGAGGACATGAACTATATTCTCAAGGAGATACATAAAGGCATTTGTGGAAATCACTCTGGAGGACAGTCACTCTCTCATTAGGTACTACGATAAGGATATTATTGGCTCACAATGGCTAAAGATGCACTGACACTCGTCAATAATAATGACAAGTGCCAAAGGTTCGAAAATATCCAACATGCCCCCTCACAAGATCTAAGCTCAGTTTCCATTCCTTAGCCCATCACGTAGTGGGGTATTGATATTGTGGGACCTCTACCTCGAGGGAAGGGTCAATGTTGCTTTGTGGTAATAGCTATTGATTATTTTACCAAATGGGCAGAAGCCGAAGCACTAGTCACGATTTCTGAAAAGAAAATTGTAGAAAAATCCATTGTATATTGGTTTGGAGTTCCACAGGCCATCGTCTCTTACAATGGAAAACAATTCGACTCGAACGGCTTCCATAGTTTTTGCTCTAACATTGGCATAAGAAATCATTTCTCATCTCCTAGGCATCCCTAGTCCAATGGTAAAGTTGATGTCACCAATTGAACTCGGCTCCAGAATATCAAGATCAAACTTGAAGAGAAACAAAGTCTGTGGGTTGAGCTCCCCCACGAAGTTTTATGGGCATATCGAACTAACCCCAAGAAAGCCACAAGGGAAAGCCCTTTCATATATTGACATTTGGGACAGAAGCAGTCATTTCAACAGAAATAGGCCTTCCTTCACATAGAATCCAAGATCACACCCCTAGAGTAATGAATAGAAGCTTAGGGCGAACCTCGATGCTCTATAAGGAACCAAGGATAAGGCCATTCTCCGAATAACTTCTTACCAGCAATGGACTACAATAAAAGGGTAAAAGAGAAGAAGCTCAAGGAGAGGGACCTCGTGCTCAAGAGGGAGTCAACAGTAGAAAAAAAAAATTAGGTACTAGCATAAGGATACTACTACCCCATAATGGCTAAAGATGCACTGGCACTCGTTAGAAATTATGACAAATGCCAAAGGTTCGAATATATCCAATATACCCCCCTCACAAGATCTAAGCTCAGTTCCCAATCCTTGGCTCATCGTGCAGTGGGTTATTGATATTGTGGGACCTCTACCTCGAGGGAAAGGTCAATGTTGCTTTGTGGTAATAGCTATTGATTATTTTACCAAATGGGAAGAAGCCGAAGCACTAGCCACAATTTATGAAAAGAAAATTGCATATTTCATCTGGAAATCCATTGTATATTGGTTCAGAGTTCCAAAGGCCATTGTCTCTTACAATCGAAAACAATTCGACTCGATTGTCTTCCATAGTTTTTGTGGGACCTCTACCTCGAGGGAAGGATCAATGCTGCTTTATGGTAATAGCTATTGATTATTTTACTAAATAGGTAGAAGCCAAAGCACTAGCCACGATTTCTGAAAAGAAAATTGTAGATTTCATATGGAAATCCATTGTATATTGGTTTAAAGTTTCGCATGCCATCATCTCTTACAATGGGAAACAATTTTACTCGAGTGGCTTCCCTAGTTTTTGCTCTAACCTTGGCATAATAAATTATTTCTCATCTCCTGGGCATTCCTAGTCCAATGGTCAAGCCGAGGTCACCAATCGAACTCTACTTCAGAATATCAAGACCAAACTTGAAGAGAAACAAAGTCTGTGGGGTTGAGCTCCTCCACGAAGTTTTATGGGCATATCACACTACCCCCAAGAAAGCCACAGGGGAAAGCCCTTTCATGCTGGCATTTGGGAGTGAAGCAGTCATTCCAGCAGAAATAGGCCTTCCTTCACATAGAATCCAAGATCGCACCCTAGAGTAATGAATAGAAGCTGAGGATGAATCTCGATGCTCTAGAAGGAACCAAGGATAAGGCTGTTCTTTGAATAACTTCTTACTAGCAACGAACTACAATAAAAGGGTAAAAGATAAGAAGCTCAGGGAGGGGGACCTCGTGCTCAAGAGGGAGTCAACAGTAGAAAAAAAGAGGTTATATCCAAACTAGGTAGGGAGTATATTTTTATCAACGAGGTTCGACCCGGGACTTATCAATTAAAGACCTCCCAAGGGAAATTACTCCCTTATTCATGGAATGTGGAACATCTCAAGAAGTACTATGTTTGATTGTGAATCTGTTCATATTATAATGAAAGTCAGATCTCTTCTACCATTTATTCCTTTGCTGTCAAAAACAAAAGAGGTAAAAGCCCATGAAGGAGAAATCCCACCAAGGCGAAAGCCCTCCAAAGCAAAAACCCACCAAGGCGAAAGACCCCAGGGTGAAGGCTCATCGAGGCGAGAGCCAACTCAAACCGAGGCAAGAACTTGGTGAAGCAAAGTCTCACCAAGACAAAAACCCACCAAGCAGATCAACCAGCTTGGAATAAGGGCACCAAAACTCCAAAAATAATAGACAACCAAGCCAAACAAGTACGACAAACTCTAAACTTGTATTTTTTTATACTCTATGTTGGAGAACGGATGTCGGATGTCAATTCCTAGACATAGAATATTTTTTAGATTTTATACTCTAGGAAGGAGAAAAGTTGTTGGATAAACATGGAGTATTTTTTACATTTTATACTCTACAATGAAGAACGGTTGTTGGATAAACTTGGAATATTTTCTAGGTTTTATACTCTACATCAGAGAACTGCTGTTGGGTGTCAATTCCTAAACTTGAAATATTTTTTAGATTTTATACTCTACATCGGATGACAATTCCTAACAGAATGTTTTTTGAATAACATGCTCTAGTTCAGACCGCGGTTATTAGTGGCACTAAGTTAACTCCCAAACTTAAAATATTCATGATTCCGACCTCTTTTACTTAGAATCTATTCATTCATACTAGTTCGAACAAAATAGTCCAGTCTTGACAATCATCACTTTAAAATGATCCTAGGCGAACATCAATTTGGCAGGAGAAAGATAAACATTAGATAACCTCACTACGACATGCAAATCTACATCCAATTCCAAGTGGTACATCGTGTCTTAATTATATGAATGTTGTGCTTTCTATTTCTTAGACATTGTATGACATGTAAACTCAGTGTCAAAGTATCAAGTCATCTTCAATATCACAATATATATACATAAGATTTTTCAATAACATATTAATTTCTAGATAATCAACACAACCTAAATCAAAACCATAGAAATTCAATTCACTCAAACTAAATTTTAGTCATAAATCAAGATCGCAATATATAGGATCCAATACATTTCACAATTACAAAACCCAACCCACAAGGCTAACATAGAAAATCTATGGTAAATTGATTTACCATGACATATACCACTTAATTGGGACAATCTAAGAGACCCAACGGAAAATCAAATATGATATTTGATGGAACAATCAGTAAAGAAAATATATATGTCAGAGGGTTATGATAGTCTAGAGTGCAGAGCTCAGTATTCGGAGTGCAACAACTACTAGACTTTGGTCTTGTCAAAAGAAACTGAATGTAGGGGATCAGTGTGGTCTCAGTTGAACTATCTCCGATGTCAAAGTTAGTTTGACAGAGTCTATAAAGTATTCGTTTTAAGAGAGAGAGAGAGAGAGAGAGAGAGAATTTATTCTTGTTACCTACCTTAAGCCTTTATTTATAAGGGATTGTATAGTGTGGGTTGATCGCGTTTTTAGTTTTAAGAGTAATGATTAGGAGTAATCATTCATGGTTGCATGTCTAGAAAGCTAATGTCGTGCAAGAGCCTTCAGCACTAACGTGCGCTAGGTATGCTAAAGCTCATGTGTGGTGTCAGGAATGTGAAATTCTTCTTGACTAGAGACATGCAAGGGATGGCTAACGTACCCCTATCATTTTATTTAGTTGTGTCGATCAACGACCTCCGAGGTTTGGACTATATCCATCGGTAGCCCCCCGATTCCTTATGACCTCTTGGGTTGTTGAGAATTTATTCGGTTGGTCCTGTATCCTTGGCTCACTTTCGACGGTTGAGATGATTAATCTTTTTTGGATTTTCTTAGATTTTGAAATGAAGATTTTAAAGTGATGATTACATTAAGATTCAAATTTTGTCACTAAATCACATGAAAAATAACCTCACAATCCCTCAAGATTTGCTCTTGTACATCACATAACCTCGACCGTTAAAATTCGTTTGCTAAACTGTGAAACTTTGATAAACGATTATATTTTTCTCATTAAATTCCAAAACTACCCATAGTTGGCACAATAATAAAAACTCAATAATTATTTTTTTAAAACCCCAACAAATTAGATACATATACCTTTAAACTTCATCCACTGCCAAAATCCAACCCAAAAACCTTAAATTACCACCTACAGCCATCACTGACCAAAATCCCAACCACTGCCACCATTGAAAATCCTTCCATCAATCCAAAAACCCTATACAACCACCTACCACCACCAAAAAATATATACTATTGGACTTAAAAGTTATATGCTGGTTCGATTTCCTAAGATTCACCATCACCGGCCAAAAAATTAGGAAAGACCTTATAAACTAAGAAAATTAGGAAACATTTCACGTTTGGTTAAAAAATGGTGCTGTAATCAAACCTAATAAAATTTAAAATTAGAAGAGTCTCTTCATATTGCAGAAGTCCAACACTCAAGTCTTCCCCTCATATCATCCTTGATCCTCCAATTTTCAACATAAGATTGTTAGGAGAATAATAATATCACAAACCATTCATGAGAGAACAACATGAAGAAAAGGAAGAGGGAGGTCCATGGGGCCACGAATCGAAAGAGACGTGGATCAATTACAAAAGCTCAGAACAACATTGGTAGTTTCACAATCCCAATTAGATAGAGGAAATTCAGTTCACACGATACTTCTGTTCCGCCCACAAGAGGAGCAAAAAAACCCTCCACAATCCATAAAATGTATGTATACAAAGTTTGGAATCATAAGAACAAACCTGAGGACGAGGGAGAAATTGAAGGCAGGTAAAGAAAATGAGCAGGAAGAGATAAGGCATACCTCGAAGGGGTTGGCAGCGGCGGCGGTGGTGGTGTCGCTGGAGCGTAAGAAAGAGAGAGAGAGAAATAAATGGTAAGGAGTAAAAAAAAAAAGAAGAGACGGTTGGGCAAAAAAAAAGAGGAAACAGAAGTGATGGTTGTCTGACAGAAAGGACAAAAAAAAAAAAAGAGACGGAGGGGAGGCGGTGACAGGTGAGGTGACCGAGAGACATCAGTTTTTTGAAAATAATTGTGGACGAAAAATGATGAATTTGGGAGGAAAATAGAAGAAAGATTGATAACCATCGGATGAAATGAATTGTGATTGTACGATCAGCTTATTGAAGTCCGTTGTGTTTTATATTATAGATTTATTGAAATAAATTTGAAAACAAATATCTAATTTATTCTTAAAAATCATAATTAGTATGTAATTATATTATTTATTGAAATAAAACTAAAAAATCAAAAAAGGGATCAAACTGTAATAGACACAATATTTTTTAACTTTAATTGAGGTAATTTGGTAGTTTAATTTAGTTATTTAAATGACCAAATTAAATTCTAATAAATAGTATAATTGTATACTAATTATGAATTTTTTTTAAAAAAATTAATTTTTTATTTTTTATTTTGTTTCAATAAATGTCATAATAGAACACGAATTTTTATTGTAAAATTTAAAATATTTGATATTCTAATTTTGATTGAAGTATTTTTAGTCTAAATATAATATTTTAAATTTGGGGAGCCTAAGTATTACACGCCTACAAATTTTAAGGGGTTTGAGTGTAATTTATTAATAGATTTAATAACGGACATTGACGGTAGGGGTGCAAGTATTACACGCGTACAAATCTTAGGGATTCTATATGTAATATTTAAAATATTAGAGGATTTAAGTAATTAAGTGACAAACCTAAAAAATCTCGATGCAGTTCTCTCTAGAAAAAAGAATAAAGAAGAATGTTCAAAACACTTCCGCTAGAGCATACAAATGAATTGTCAAAGAGATTCTTCCACCCGACTGTTGAAAAAAACATATTCTTTAACAAAATTGTTAGTTTGTAACTTCAATTTATTTGACTACAAAAAAAAAAAGCTTCAATTTATTTAGATAATTTTGGTGTTTAACATTTGTTTTTGTTGGATAATAAATACATTTTACGAAAATACTAGATTGATCAAATTTTAAAAGACAAATATATGGTCTAAATAATGTGACAAATTCACACAACTAAACCAGATATAATTGAACCCTTATTCGTATGAGCAATGCTATGTATTCGTACAGGGTGAGAAATTGTTGAACTCATGTAGGCCACCAAACCCAAATTTAGGCCTCAAATTTGGTCAAAGTTACCATACTTATTAAATTTCATCTTTAATGGTTTGTTTTATGGTAATGATGAAAAAAAAAGGGAAAATTTCATCCACACCCCCTCTAGTTAGGTATAAATTCATAGACACCCCCTACCTATTCTGAATCTTCACTGCCACCTCCTATCAGACATTGTCTGGTAACGGCGTTAATGGCTAGGGTTAATTTATAAAAATAACCCTCAGTATTTTATACTTAATATGTATGTATACATATTTAACCTATACTACTAACTATGGTTATGTTTTGTTAACCTTACCTATTTATTAAACCTAACCCAGCCCAAGCATCTCTGTGCATTCCTTGGTTAATGGTTTGGTCTAATGCACGAACAGAGAGAAAACAAGAGAGGGGGGAAGAAACGAGGAAGAAAATTGTTGAAGGCTTGGAAGATCTTTGCGATTCCAAACATCAAATGGTTTGAAGAGTTCCTATCGAAGATTCTGTCATTTTTTGTTTTGTTCATCTTTTATGGATTTGGGGGTTTTGTTCATCTTTATCGTCTAAACATAGTTCAGGGTTAGTGACAGAGAACATAGTTGAGTAAGGGTTTGAACATAGTTCATCTTTTTTTTTTTTACATTTTTTGTATCTAGGGTTTATATTTTACGGATTTGGGGGTTTTATTCATCTTTTATCCTCATATTGAACATAGTTCAGGGTTTTCTAATGCATTCTCCATAGATATTGAGTAAGGGTTTGGATAGACTTCGATTTTTTTTACGTTTTTTGTATCTAGGGTTTATATTTATTTTATGGTTTTGGGTGTTTTGTTCATCGTTTATCCTCATAGTTCAGGGTTTTCTAGTACATTATCCATAGATATTTGAGCCTATGACAGTGTTGAAATTAGGTTTCAATTTTTTACGTTTTCAAAAAATCCTTCTTGTTTAAGACTTGCTACATAGATGATTTTCTTCATTTTTTGAATGTGCAATTGTGTTTGAAATTGTTGTTGAAATGGCTGCTAAGTTTATTGACTTGTTCATACACTTTGATGGGCAACAGTACATGGCACAGAGCGTTGACCCAGATAAATATTGTCATGTGCACCTATTATCAGATGTATTTATGTTGTGTTCATCAGCATTGACCTTTGTGTTCAAAATATATTGTGAATTGCCTGGTTCAAATGACAGAATGTTATTAGATGATGACAAAGATGTAATGGAGATGTTTAGTAGGCACAATAATAGAAAACACATAAACATACATGTTATTCCACAAGAAATTGGAAACATTGTTGTTAATAGAAACAGTATGGCCAATGTGGAGCATGTGGAGAGTTTGGCCAGTGTGGAGAATCAAGGGAATGAAGAAGCTAAAAATAGTGATGATTTTGATTTTGAATATGATGATGTATATGGAATTAGGTCTGAAGATGAAGAGTATGGAGAATAGCATAATACCATAGATGAAGAGTTTAGGGTAGATACCGATTTAAACAATGATGATGGGTTGTTAGACTATGCATCTGGGGATGATGATTATATTAATTCCAGCTCTGAGTCAGATGACAATGTGGACAAAGCAAGACACAAAGCTACTATAAGGACATTTTACATGAACAGATATGGGAGAGAGTTTGCAATACAGCCTGATGGGATAGTGCAGGTAGAGGTTGGTCAACTGTTTATGGATATTCATCACTTTAGGGAGATTTTGAAAAAATATGTTGTGCAAGAGGGATTTCAGCTTGTAAGGGATAAAAATGAGAGGAAAAGGATTACTTGCCATTGTGGAAATGGGGGCTGCAATTGGAGGATCCATGCATCTCCACTTCCTGATGGTGTTACATACAGTATTAAGACATTAAGAGGTCCACACACATGTGTCAGAAATAGTTACAGTACTGAGGCAACATCTAGTTGGCTTACTAAGAAATTAGAAAATGAAATACGTAGTAATCCTGAAATGAAAGTACTTGCTCTTCAAGAAACAATCAATGCTAAGTTGCACATAGAAATAGATTTGCAGAAGTGCTATAGAACAAAGAGGAAAGTACTAGATGACATTGATGGGAATCATGGAGAAGCTTATGAGAAAGTTAGGTAGTATGGAAATGAAATCATTCGAAGTAATCCGGGTAGTCTTGTTGCCATAGAAACTGATGATCAAAATGCAGATGGTAAGAGGCCTTTCAAGAGGATTTTCATAGCTTTTAATGCTCTTAGTAGAGGGTTTATCACTGGATGCAGACCAGTCATAGGCCTCGATGGATGCCATTTGAAAGGGCTATATGGTGGTGTTCTATTGTCTGCTATTGCCCTAGATGCTAACAATGGTCTTTTTCCTGTTGCAGTTAGTGTACTGGAGAGTGAGAGGTATGATAGTTGGAATTTCTTCATTAGTCATTTAGCAGAACTCATTGGAAACCATGCATCTCCACTTTGTTTCATGTCTGATCAACAAAAGGTATGTACTGTTATTACTGCATTTTTTTACTGATATTACTGTTTTGTTTGTACTGTTATTACTACATATTTTTAACTGCTATTACTACATTTTTGTTAACTGCTATTACTTCCACATGCATTGACTGGCAGGGACTTGAACATGATTTTGAAGAATAAATTCCCAGATGCTAGTCATAGAAGGTGTTGTAGGCATTTATTTTGCAACTTTAAGGCAAAATTTCCTGGTGTTTTGCTTAGAAGGTTATTTTGGAAAGCAGCTAGAGCATATAATGAAGAGGACTTCAATGAAGCTATGCTAGAGGTGAAGTCCAAGTCTCTAGATGCATACCAATGGATGAGTAGGCTGCCATGTAGTTGTTGGTCTAGGCATGCATTTGATACCAGAATTAAGAGTGATCATGTGACCAATAATTTAAGTGAATCTTTCAATAGTTGGGTAGGATCTTTGAGGTCAAAGTCTATTCTTAATTTGTTGGATGGCATTAGGACTAAATTTATGACTAGGATTCAGCAGAGGCATGACAGGGGCAACAGTGGGGAAGGGTTAGTGATAGAAATGTCAGAAAAAAAACTTAACAAAATCATTGCTAAGTCAAGATCATGTTCTGTAGTGCATGCAGGTGGAATGCAGTATGTAATAATGGATAATGGGATAAGATACATAGTGGTGCTTGATGAAAAAAAATGTGATTCTATGGCCTGGGGTATATCAGGCATACCATGTAAGCATGCAGCATAGATAATTGCAAACAAGAGGTTGAATATTGAGGAATACTGTGATGATTTCTTCAAGAAAGAGGCATTCTTAAAAGCTCATGAGCTAATTATACACCCCCTTTCGAGACTAGAGAAAATGGCCACATGTAGTTGGTGATATGCTATGTCCTCCCCTTCTCAGAAGACTCCCAGGCAGACCCAAAAAAAATAGGAGGAGGGAGGCAGATGAGGCAGCATCACAAACTAGCTTTGCTAGGAAGTCTTTAAATGTGAAATGTAAAATTTGCAAAGAGTTTGGTCATAATAAGAGGACATGTCAAAGAGCTCCTGTGAGGGCAGAACAGACAGCTCCTGTTAGTGCACAATAGTCAGCTCCTGTGATGGCAGAACAGACAGCTTCTCAAGCAGAATTTGGAATTGGACTAACAAATGAACAGGTTGTAATTCGTTAATTTTTTAGTTACTTAGTTTACAAAATACACAAGCTGCTAATTCACTTTTCCAAACTTATTAGGTATCTGCAACTAGAGGGATTGGTGTAGGCAAAGGAAGAGGAAAGAAGAGTAAGGGCAAGGAAAG